CCTGCGCCACCAGCCCCGGCACGCTCAGATGTTTTTAATTTCACATTTTACAAATGGAACACACCATTTTAAATACCTACGCTTGACACTGACTTGTGAGCTTGAATGCACAAAAAGTCAAGCAGAGATTCAAATCCAGTCTGCAGGCTTGAATCATGCCTGTAGTGGCAAGTTCAAGAAGCTCCAATTTTCTTTGGAGGATTAAAGAAAGGTGAAGCTTGAGGGCTAGATAAAACACAACGTGGGGGGAAAACAAAGCGACATAAGCTGAGGCGGTTGCGCAGACAGAGTGAGGCTATCCAATAGCTTCGGAGACAAATAGCAGGGATAGGAAAGTGAATGACAAAATAAGGCAGGCTTGAAAGATGCAGGGAGGCAGGTCGATGTTCCAATAACAACACCTTTTGGCATGTTGTTTTCTGCTTCTCACTCTCCTGGCTCACGCCTGCTGTTTTTCAAAGGAAGCTGGCTCAGGCTCCAGCATCTAACTGGTTCCTGCTCGCACAGAGCGCCTATTCAGACCTGTTCTGTTCCTACTAACCGCTGAATGGGCGATGCCTGGGGTGAGGACTGAGGTACACAGCACTGTGCTAATAACCATGGGGGACAGGGAATGTTGGGGTGCAAGCGTGAGGAGGGGAGCCACCTGATTTGGACTGCAGTCAGCAGGATTGACGTTAGCTGGATGGCCGTGAGTAAGGAGCTAGACGTGCTGTTCCAAGAAAGAAGAGGGCTCGGTGGGAAGAAATGGGTGTGTGTGTGATGTGATACAAAGCCCCCTTTCTCCTCTAGCTCCTACACACTGTGCTTGCTTTTGGCATACAGCACTGAAAGAACTGGAAGGTACTGTAGTAATCCATGGCACAGAAGTCAAAAACACACAGCAATCAGGCTAAAACACATATACATGATTCTTATAAGTAAATAAGTGCGGCTATTTCCACCCATTTGAGGTTGTAGAAAATCGCTTCAACACCTTTCATCTTAATTCAGATCAAATGAAAACAGCTAAATAACAACTTACACTGACACTGAAATCCAGGGCATTAAACCAAAGGTCTCTAATCAAATAAAAGATTAAATAGCTCACAGTAGTGGATCATTACTCTTTGCAAATATTTACTTACACACATTCTTAGAAGCACAAAGATACACACACAGCAAGCAGTGGAGCGCAATCAAGTGGTCTGTTGCAGAGGAATGTGTTTTGGCTGAGACTTGACTTGTGTATCCTGTATCAAAAGTGAACAAGTGCTGTTAGCTTTAGCATACGTTCCACTTGTGTCTGCTGTAACACAGGCTATGAGCCTCCCGGCTGAACCAACACATGTGCGCACCTACAGATGCACGCGCATGCAGATTTCATCTACTGACTAGGTGCTTCATTAGCGGGGTATGGTGGGCTTGAATGCTGAAATTCATTAGACAAAAGGATGAATGAAACATATAGTGATTAAATTCATGGTGAAAATGAATATAGATCAGAAACACAACAACAAGATGAAGGAGAATAACAACAGAAAAAAAAACACATTAAACAGCAAAAACTATAGTCTAGGGACGCCAGTGGAATGACTAAATCTGCACCATTTCTGTCCATTAAAAAAAAGAAAAAAAGATTAACCTTTGCTCTTGCTACGCATTCGTCATTGGCGCATCAAACCCTCCAGTTACAGGGCCCAAGATACTGGTTTACTGTCCCAAGGCAGATACGGATTAACTGCTATCAGTCTGGCCTTTGCCCCTCCAACACCGCCTCCATTTAGAAATGGCATTGGTGGGGTCTAAAGGGCTCGGAGCTAAGAAATTTCTGCTACCGGAGCGCACACTTTGTGTTTCTGTGTGTGTGGTTATATAACTGAAGCATGTTCTCAAGCACATGACAACATGCACACAAGGGGACAGATGAACAGACGAAGAGACGTGAATATGAGTCGATGGATATTTATGGCAGAGTCCAGAATCTGTAAAAATATCTGAGGCACGGCCTCAGCTAAGTTTAGGTTTTGGGAGCGTGTGACCAGTCGAATACGACTCTCGGGTAAGGCAGAGAGAAACTCCCACATGACCCCCCACCACCCCCAATATGAGCTCACAGTTAACCGGGGTTAGAGATGACTGACCATGACTGCATGACTAAAGTCACTGCTGCTCTTCAGCAGCTGTTTTTGACTTTACTTGTCTACGCTTCCAGTTTGTGCTCTCCGCATGTTCAGCAAATGATGCTGGGTCATCATATCAACATATCTAACAACTGTGGCAGAATCCAGAAAAAGAGAATCTCATTATTCTTTAATCAGACGACATCACCGGCATGAAAAGCAGCAGGAAGACAACAAACACAGAGAAAGAATTGTATTTTCCCAAACAATGACTGATCTACAGGCTAAAGTGCTGTGCACAAATCCTCATTTTGCAACTTGAGCAAAAAAACAAGACCTCAGAAGAATAGTTGCAAATGTCACCATTTAACTCTGCAACTCAGAAGAAGAAGTAGACCAGAAACTAGCAATCAGTATGAAGTAAATAAGAAAAAAAAAGTTATATCCGGCTTAGTATGGGGGATATATGACCAGTAATGTCAATGGGTTCAATGACATCATGTTGTCTCTCCTGGTGGGAAACAATAACTACTCATGACCATTTCCTGTTTTCCTATCAGCTATGTCTCCTTTGGGGTAAATCCTGCATCCTGCAACGCAAATGCTTTTAACATGTATATAGAGCTAAAGAAGAAACTACCACAACTATGGTACGGCCTCATAAAAGAGACAGAATATTGAAAACATCTGAACCACGAATGTAGCAACAGCTACTCTAACAGACTTGTAAAAACATGAAGAGGAGAGATGTTGCATCTTACTGAGCTTGAAAATAAATGTTCCTTCCTCCCTCCTAGCGCTACAATTATAAATGCTTGAATAATGCCTCAGCGCCTCAGTACACCTATGTGCAATCTCCTTAATTTTTTCTTTTGAAATGCTCTCTTCACTTCTGAAATAATCAGTGAAGAAAATCTATAACAAAGAAGGACTACCTCTACATCCCTCAGATATGTTGTACATATAAGTTATGTTGCCGCAGGGGGGGAAAAAAAATCACATGGAGGAGAAAAGGGCTCACATGTAATAACTGCAAGCTCTGATGATCCTAAAGGACACTTATGAAAGACCCTGGAGCAAAAAACACCCATAGCTAGCTGAAATTGCAGTCAGTGTGGGCCATGCAGCGCAGCTCAGTCAAAGAATCCTTGTCTCATAAAACCACCCAGGCACAGAAGAAATTGTGGCAGGGGGGCGGGTGAATGAATGAGCATTTGAGCAAACAACTGAGTGTTTACCAGTCAAAAGTATGGAGCAAGGCCATCCACCACACTGAAATTCCCACAGGTTAATGCAGAGTAAAGCCTCTCTGCAGCTGACACTTCACCTTTGAACTCCCTGTGAAGCAGGGGAAGCAACAAGAAAACTTTCCCACATGACTGAATTAGAGGCCATCATCTTGTTATTGCACACGTCTACCCTTGTAATTGCATTTACAAAAATTAAACTGGAACCGAGACGGCTCAATGCTTACAAGCACAAAGATCTTGAGACAGAAACTCCTCGTTATCTACATTCCACAGTAATGCCTTAGATTTAATACTCAGACAACGCACCATTTTCTGCTCTATGTCCAAGCAGTAAACAGCATTCTTCATCAAAAGAGCCTCTGTAGCAGCAACTAACACCCTGATTAGTGTTTGATCACGTTGTCATTAAGAACTTGTGTAGCTATTTTTAGGCACACATACTATAAAGATATTCTTGAGCAAATTGAATGATACATTCAAAGACAGTTCAAGAGTCAGAAAAACCAAAGCATCCTAGAAAAAAAGAATATACCAGGCCTCACTTAACCTGGAGTTGGCAGCAGTCTCCATGACTTCATAGCTTCTTCCCTTATGTGATGAAAAGCCAGACACCTGGCATGCTCTGTGGCACTTGGCATGGGTACACAAACAAAGAAACACTTCAAATTCAAAAACAATGCCAAATGCTTGCAGGTACAACACAGCATGAGTAATATCACCTCTTATATTGCTTCCATGTCACACAGTGTAAGACTTTTTGGACTAGAGTTCTGTTGACATGGTGAGAAACAAACTCTCTGCTTTTGAAACCTCTGACACAGCTGCAGCACAGACAGGCAATATTTTTTTCAGCTTATACAGACAGAAAAGAAAGAATATTAGAATATCTCTTTGACATTCCTGTAGCATTTCCAATGGCCATATGTCTCTTCTGCCTTTTAACTCTATTGAATGAAGCACTCATTCTTCAGGTATTTCCTCCAAAAAGGAAAGAGGAACAAAGACAGTGGTGATTTGCAAAAGGACGGAGGTTAGATAGTGCATGCTCAATAAAGCTTTTGTCAAATTAAACGGATTGATTCCCTTCTGTGTCTTACTCGGAGCACAATAGCACACTCTTTCTCACATACAGACATGCATGCACACTCCCACAGGGACTTGTGAGGCCCACATGTGCAGCTGTGGACTGTGTGTGAACCCCAGTTGGGAGGGGAGACACTGAGGGAGAGATGGATGGCATGCAGTGTTGTTTTCTGTTTGCTGTCAGTAAGAGCTTTGCCATCTGTAAAAAGAAGAGCCCGCACCAGCGTCAGTGCAACTTGTTTGTCACATAGAAAGATTCCTCAAACAACCCCTCTGTAAACTTTGCAACAGCTGCAGACTGCAGACAGAGGATGCACTGTACTTTGGGGAGCACATATTTGAAAGTAGAATTTCATTTATCGGCCAAACTGGTTGTGCTCACAGTTGATCAATCGGGACACAAAAATTAATTTAAAAAACCCCCAAAACAAAACACTTTTGCTAACATACCCAACTTTGAAATGCTGTAAACTAGACACAGCAATGCCAGCAACAAACATAAAACAAGCTTGCAAAAGTCAGACAGAGGCGATTGCCCATAACAAAATTAAATCTGCCCTTTTACCTGCAAACTGAGCGCAATCTGACGAATGTACATCATATTGAGATCTTCCAGTATCCACAGTTTTTCCTCCATGTTTGCGTGCTTATCAACTGGCATCCTTTAGGCAGGTAACGAAAAGATAGACTTCTTTTTGAAGTTGTCGAGTTCAGACCCCTACCCCGCAGGAACCGGGGACATTGAGTTCATTATGGCAGTGTCCTGTTCAGTCGTCAATGATTAAGAAAGAAATCAGTGCGTAAAACAACGCGTAAAAGTTCATCTCCGCATCCAAAACAAGCCGAGTAGGACCGGGAAAGCAGACAAGAGGTGGAGTGGATGACAGCATCGACTGCACTGTAGCAACCCTGTCCATAAAATTCCCCCAACTCGTTCACGGCGCGTATTCTTCTTCTGTACTTTTCTCTCCGGGCGACAACGATCCTCTCAAACACCCACAGTCAACACCCAGCGGCAGCTGGAAAAGAATGGAGGCTTTTAAAATGCAATTGTTCTCTTTGTGTCTCTGTGTCCCGACTGTGAACGCCGTCTGTCCTCTTTGACAAGAGACCTTTTCCACAAAAGGGCATCGCCTCTGCGGGAATGATAGGCACAACTACTCCACTGTGTGCGCCCTCACGCTGCCCAACTCGGCGCTAAATTAACCCCTACGACGCGCCTCTGGTGTTGATAATAACTCTTAAAAAATAAGAAACGGAGGAGAGAGAGAGAGACTGCCAAAGCAGAACTCACGCCCATAAAGCAAACACAAACATAAAGCAAATACCGCACCAGCACGCAAGCACAGCGGGGCGGAGAGCTTTGTTCATCTTAATAGCCTGATAATAAATGGAGAATTACAGTGTCAGAGTGGAGTAAGAGTGGGAATGTACACCGAAATATCACAGAAAACCGGCTTAATTCAAGAAGAGGTGCTTCAGGAAACATTTAAACAGTGGAAATACTCATATTTGACTCATTTTGTACGATTAACTTTTTTAAAAAAATATCACGTATCCCAAAAGAGTCGCTCAATATACATAGATCAGGGTCACACGCGTGAGCACAGTTCAAAAAGACCTGCTTTGAAAACAGACTGCGCAAACCTTTCATGTATCAGTGGACAACTGTTAACTCTCCAGGAAATTCTTAAAATATCCAACAAATATTTTTGGTTCTTCAAGTCATTTTTTTGCGTGTGGGGGTCCTTATCAAAGCGAGAATATTCCCTACTTTGAAAATAAAGCGCTTCTTTCCACGCCAGAAGTCGGTCTCCTTTCCAAAGATCACAGCTGGCTGCAGTTTCCTGTGTTCTCAACAGAGAGAATCCCAAAGTTTCACTCCATGTGACTTTCAGCCACAAATTCCCCTGATGGTTGCGTTTATGTCTGGGAAAAACTGTTTACAGTCAATCGGAATCTGCTCCACACAAAATACGGTGTGGAAGAAAAAACAAAAGTCACCCCAGTCTCCTCTCCAGTGCGCTCATGCCCGCGCTGCTGTGATGCGTGTATCCTTCCTTGTGCTGAGCAAACCACAAGCCGACCCCTCAACAGGAAACCGGCGTTACGTTGCAGGCTACTTACTCACTCAGACACATTAATTAAAAGGACACAAATTCTTCTGCTCTTTAACACTGAGGTGAGTCAGAGGTCACCAGAAAGGATTCATCATTAGTCAGATCACCCCTTAAAACAAAGTTACATGACATAGTGACAGGATGTTTTCCCACCACATTCCTCAGTTTTACAAGATATTTGGGATGACTCTTCTCTACACACATGTCCATATGGAACTCCATCACCCTGGAGCATGTCTCCTAAACTTGTGAACACATGCAAACAGTGAAAACAAAAGCGCTGATTAAGCCCTTTCACCTCAAAGAGGCAGAGCCAGGGGCGCCAGCAGTAAAGCCAGGTCATTTCCCCAAGAAAAGCCTCCACCCTTAGAGTTCAAATCAGCCGGCTAATCTGCTGCAGATACCAACATATGCAGTAAGACAGGAGATTTATTGTTCCGGGGGTGGAAAAAGAAATAGTTGAGTTAAAATGCAAAGAGGTGCTTTTTGGCATCTCTTTGTGTGAGCGTGTGCGCGTCTGACTGGATACATAAATCACTCAGAATCTAAAATCACATGCAGCCGATCCTCTGTGAAAGGTGACCTGGCATGCTGCTGAAATGGAAAAATGTTAATCCAACAAGACCTCAGAAATATGCTGAACTCTGTACTACTGTACTAACCTGTGCTGAAACAAACTTAATAAGTCAGCTTATCTTATCTTTATATGTTTTTTTAAAGAATGAACAAACAACAAAAGATAAAATCAATATAAAATATATAAACTACTCCAATATCACTTAATCTATTTAGTTTGTCCTTAAGCTCCATTACAACAGCAGCAGTTCCCCGAGGCAGAACTGGCTGCAGGTAAATCTCCCTGCAGTAAACCACAAAGACTTACATATTATGACAAATGCCTAGAGGCTGAACAAAAACAGACAGAAAACAGCTATTATCTCAATGACAGGGCATACTGACAGGCGGTTTAACCAGCTCAAACACTGCATCTTGGCCCAAAGCCACTGAGAATAGGGCAAACTCAGCTAGCCAGAGACAGCTGATTAGAGGGATGTGTAGAAGCCTGACACCTTTGGGCCTCACCGATTTTGCGATGTTAAATAGCAGTTACCTGATTGACTGTTGCATTAGCAGTGACTGTTCTTCTGACTGAAGCAGGGCCAGATGTGCTAATTGGCTGCTATGAGGGAGCCAATGTATTACACAACCAGTTAATCCCTCACCAACTCTGAGGTTTAATGAAAACAGAGAACACACACACACACACACACACACACACACACACACACACACACACACACACACTGAACCTTGCATAATAGAATCACAGAGGGTTGAACCTCTCTAAAGACAATACCCGGTGCCTCTGTTGTTCCTGAAAGGAAGTGTGGAGGAATATGGAAAACTTCCTGTCTGTACACCTAATCGGCTGGAGGAAAACACACTGGAGTCAAAGCACAGAGTGACCTGGTGGTGCTCTGCCAAACAACATTAAACAGGAAATATTATACCTGCCCTGTGCCCTGTGATGGACCAGCAGCCTGTCCAGAATGTGCCCAGCATCTTACCTCACGTTGGAAAAACAATTCCGAAAGATGGATGGATGAAAAGCTGTTATACCTGCTTTAACAAGTTATAAGATTGCCCCACATATCTCCACAATGTGCACTTCAAGTTTCAGCTCAGGATACCAGACAGATCCTTCATTCTGCCAGGCCTATAATAAACCTGATTTTAGCTCTGCTCCAAACAGGCTGTTTCACTGTCTGTAGTTCTAATTCCAGCAGAAGTGCTGCTGCCCACGGTCCGTTCAGCTTCACGTCTGTGAGTGACAGAGCACAGCAGCAGCACGTTCAGATGACCACAGAGGAAACAGACCTGAATGAAAGATTCTGTCGCTTCCAACATATTGTGTAAATATAGTCAAAACCACAGCACAGCTGTTGTTTTTAACTTTAGTGAGTGGTGACTTGGCAAACAGGATTCAAATCAGGATTTAGAATAAAAGAGCAGCAGCTTGGAAAATGGCAGTAGGTGAGAGCTAGTTAACAGGCGTTTTAATGGGCATGGTTCAGCCACTGTTTTTTACTTGTTCGGCTGTCTGACAGCAGAGACACATCAACATGTAACACAAACTGGTTTTATTGGGCGCTTGGCTGTATAATATACAGAAACTGTCCGTCAGCACTGCAACTGCTCGGGACACAACTGCTTGGGTTAGCATACATGAATCTAGCCGAAACAACAATGGTGGGGCTGTTCTTTTAGAATTTAACTGTGCAACTTGGACAAGTCTTTTTCTCCACTTTAACATGACACCCATCTGTAAATCTGAAGTCAGAGGTGCTTTTCAATTTAGCGAGAAAGAAAAGAAACAAGAGGTTGATGTTATTGTGTAGGACAGACATTCTGGAGACACTTTGTTATGTTAGAAAAACATAACAATGAAAAACGGCAGTGTGCATGTATACGTTGGAAAAAAAAGTACTTTGGCTTAAAGACGGATTTATTATTGTTTTAATCTTTAAAAATCTTCCACATGCATAAATGACAGAAAGGGCTGGGTTTGGTGGCACAATTCAAAACACCCAGGTTTCCTTTATCAAATGTTTTCAAATGTCAAAAAGCAGAAAGACATGTTGTAATAAAACATCATCGGCAGATCCCACAAATCTGAACACAGAGTATTCCTATTGTTTAGACCAGCAATCCATAAATATAAAATAATATTAGGGAGATAAAAAAAAAGAGTGTAAAGAAAATAATCATACTGGTGATTTTCAAACAAATGTAATGTTAAACTTCTAATCAGCATTAATGAGTAACTCGATTATTTCTTTATGTAAATCGATATGTGTAAAAAGTTAAATGCTGTCTTTGGTCTGAGGCACAGTGTGGCGGCAGAACAGGGCAGGGAACCACACGAGGGCCTCAGGCAGCCGTGCCCCAAACCACAACAAAGAAGTCTGACTATCATCAAAACCAAATCTGAAATCTGAACTCCACCACGACTCCCACTCGCTTAAATTACACACAGGGACACAGACAGCAACCCACGCTTACATACACAAATGCACATCTAGACATAAATAGATATAAACAAGTTGTAAGAAAAATGGTCTCCAAATTTAGACAAGTGCCTTTGATCATGCTCGCAAATACTGTTGTTAAAATGAAACGGGATTGTTACAAACGTTTTTCACACGTTCAAGTAGATTTTTGGTCACACAGAAGAAAAAAAAAGACCTCCCAGACCACCAAATCAGCCACTGTACACCAACATTTAACACAAAAAGTCACAAAGGTGAAGTTTTTTTTTGTTTTACATTAAGATAAAATTAAAATATTTTGTGATTGCACACAGTGAGGGAAAAAAATGCTCCGATCAAAGTAAGAACAGGCGCACAGAAACAGAAAATCTGACTCAACAGACTGGAATATCACAAGACTTCAATTACTTGGCAGTGTTAGGGTAGTTTAAGGCAGACACTGCTCAACATGATGAGAGCCGTGCGTGATGAGCTGTGAAACCAGACATTTCATAAGGAAACCCCCTCCAGAGGTCAGTTCTCAGTTACAGAGCATGAAAAACCTGCGGCGACAGCCACAGAGTCATAACTCAGGCGCAGAAACGGTGTAATGACATTGTAAATCGCAACAACAGCCTAGCTTGTTATTAGGTGTATCGGCTTGAAGTGTGATACACTTAATAAGAAATCTGTCCAAATGATGGAGCTTCTACTTTAAGGTTAGGTAAAGAGGATGTTGTGGTGATGTGTGCAACGCTGAAGATGAAAAGTCAGACATCCGGCTGCAAATCACGCAACAGATATTCTTCTTTCATTGGAAATCCCATACTGTAATAGATGCCTTCACCCGAACCCATGGGTTAGCATACAAGATCTGGGCGAGGAGGCTGCCTAAGTCAGGGTAGTAGGCCAGGGAGTGTTTTAAGTGCTTAGTTGGAGGGCTGATCTTATTTCTCAGTATCACCCATTTTACTGATAGCTGTGAAAGAAAAACAGACTCTAATACAGACGACTATAGAGACAGTTCAGCAGTTCAGCGGCAGTTTGGCTGCTCCCCAGAATCATTGCTGACTTTCAGGAACGCTAGCTCAGCTGGTCACAGGAGACTGCAGCATCTCATCACTCTGAAGGACCAGACATCTCAGTGAAAGAGGAACTCTCTCGTTAGGAAATTCATCTCAATTGATTTCTTGCCTCAGGGGTGCAGGCTGTGCAATATACAAGGACATGTGTGTGGCTCAGGGAGGATGTGTACACCAAGGCAATTCATTTACGTTTTTTTTTAAAAATGTGAATTATTTTCTAAAATTAGTATTCATGACCGTAACATGAATATAAAGTGAACATTTAAAATTGTGAAGGGAAGGAGAAAGACGCGGCTCAGCAGCTGTGCAATGTGAAATGGAACAATGGCTCCCCCTGCAGATTAAGCAGCTGCAACAGCAAGATGTGCCGCCGAGGGAATCACTGTTTAACAGTGCAAGTTACAGAGTACTTCACAGAGAAATAATGGTTACACACAGCCTGAAGTGAAAAAGCTTTGATGTCTGTGTGGTGCACTTAAAAGCCTCTAATCTGGGGAAGTAAAAAAAAACAAGAACAACAAAAAAAAGGGAAAAGGATGTAAAAAAAAAGCTCCTGTTTGTTTCCAACTAAAACCAGACGTGACAAAGATGACTTTCACAGACACGAGAAGTTCAAAAAGAAGAAGAAGAGGACAATGTTTCCAAATATAAACAGTAAGATTATAAAAACAAAAGGTTGAAAACCTGTAGTTTTATTAGGCATGAGGTCATGCCTGCTGGACTATAAAACTTATTTTTATCACTGATTGATGCCAAGGCGCTGTTTGTTTGTGGGTAAAAACCAAAGCAAGAGCCACTAATTGAAACATCTGCAGAAACAA